CTTGGAAAGACTAGCAAGTGCTAAAGTTTATTTCAACGGACACCAGAGATGTTTACCACATTCAGTCAATCATAATGATGACCAATTTTTTAAGAATTTTATTATTTAAGATTTATTTGTGTGTGTGTGTGGGGGGGGTGTTTTGCCTGCATGTTTGTATGCGTACCACTTGCTTGCCTGATACCCGTAGGTCAGAAAAGGACATCAGATCCTCTGGAACTGGAGTTACAGATGGTTGTGAGCTGTCATTTGGATGCTGGGAACCGAACTTGGGTCTTCTGCAAGAGCAGTAAGTGCTCTTAACCACTGAGCATCGCTACAGCCCCCTATTTTAATTATTTTAACTATGTGTAGTGTACAGAGGTGTACATATGTGCCGGTGTCCAAGGAGGCAAGAAGTGTCAGGTCCCCTGCACTGCTCTACCAATGGTGCTCTAGGAACCAACCTCTGGTCCTCCGGAAAAGCAATACATATTCTTAACCACTGAACCATCCTTCGAGCCCCAAAGATGCCTTTTAAGTAGATAGCCTAGTGGGTTTTTATCAATATATCTCCTGAACTTTCCATCCAAAGCCTTATTTTGAAGGACAGCTTCGGCAAATTTGCATTTTAGAAAATGCCCTCTGCTGATTGCCAGGCACATGGAAGGAGAGTCGTGTGGAAGTGGGGTTATCTGTGTCTCAGATGAGACTGGCATGGTGTGGACAAATTTGGAAATTTGTTTGGTTTGGGTTTTGTTTGTTTTTCAAGACCCGGTTTCTCCTTATAGCCCTGGCTGTCCTGGAACTCGCTCTGTAGACCAGGCTGGCCTCGAACTCACAGAGATCCTCCTAGTTCTGCCTCCTGAGTGCTGGGATTAAAGGCGAGCACCACCACACCTGGCTGAATTTGAAATTCTGTTTGTTTGTGTTTGGTTTTTGAGACAGGATTTCTCTGTGTAACAGCCTTAGCAGTACTGGAACTCATTTTGTAGACTGGGCTGACTTCGAACTCACAGAGATCCACTTGCTTCTGCCTCCCAAGTGCTGGGATTTGGAAATTTTTAAAAGATTCTTTTTTCATTTCAGAACAGTTTTAGATCTGAGAAATGCTGCAAAAAAAATAGAGAAGTCTTGAATACCAGTTTCCCTTATTATTTATATTTCACATTAGTCAGTTAAAGAACCAATATCATCACATTACAATTATCCAAAGTCTGTATCTTATTCGGGTTTCCTTAGTTTTAACCTATGGTCCTTTTCTGTCTCAAGTTCTCATTCAGAATACCACACTCATTTAATCATCATGTCTGTCTCCTTAGGTTCCTCTTGGTTATGGCACTTTCTCAGAGTTTCCTTGTTTTTGATGCGATGAAGTTGTCAACACTTGAGAAATACTTTGTAGAATGCCCTCTGACTGAGAATTATCTGTTATTTTCTACTTATTACAGAGGGTTATAGGTTTGAAGGAGGAAGGCCACAAATGTAACATGCCATTTTCCTTTCATCATATCAAAGATAGATACTATCAATATGACATCGCTGTAGATCTTAACTTTGATCACCTGGTCTATCAGGTTTCTCTGCCCTAAAGTTACTCTTTCTCCCTTGTCCTGTATTCTGCAGAGAAACCAAGTGCAGCCCATGCTTAAAAAATGAGAAATTATGCTCCCTTTACTTGAGAGGAAAGAGCCTACATAAATTAATTGGAATTCTATTGCACAAGAACTCTCCTTGTTCCATAATAGATTTTAGGATACTGGAACTGACAGCCTTTACCTATGGTAAGTGAGAATAAAGGGGTAAAAATGGTGCTAGGTTGCTGTGGGATCCTTGACAAGGCCCCTTCCCTTTCCAGGCCGCCTCTTTGCTATGGTTTGAATGCTAGATCTTAGAAATAGCTCTATGTGTTCTTGATAAATGTTTTGGAGAAAGATATAGATTTTGATGATTCTGCTTTTGACCTTGACTCACCTTGTCAGAGTAAGGTAAAGAGGATTGAGACTGAGAAGGGAGAACTGTCTTAGCCAGGCATGGTGCTGCCCACTTCTAAGTACTCAGAAGGCCAAGGCAGCAAGATTGCTTTTAAGCCCGGAATTCAAGACCAGCCTGAGCAACACAGCAACATTCCATTTTTCTGTAGTCCTCAAAAGGAAAAACTAGCTATTGAAAAAGAAAGGAGACTGGGTGGTGGTGGAGCATGCCTTTAATCCCAGCACTCGGAAGGCAGAGGCAGGTGGATCTCTGAGTTCAAGGCCAGCCTGGTCTACAGAGTGAATTCCAGGACAGTCAGGGCTACACAGAGGGACCCTGTCTCAAAACCCCTTCCCAAAAAAGAGAAGAAAAAAGAAAGAGGAGCTGGGCAGTGGTGGCACACACCTTTAATCCCAGAATTCGGGAGGCAGAGGTAGGCAGATCTTTGAGGGGTTCAAGGCCAGCCTGGTCTACAAGAGTTCCAGGATAGCCGGAGCTGTCAAAAAAAGGTAATGCAGTATCTTAAGACTAGAGTTTATAGAACAGAATCTTAACCAAGGCACCTTGTGGGGAATAAGGGTATATATCCCTGAACTATCTGAAGCCAGTCCCCGGTGAGCATGTATGTGTGAAGGTGAAGGGAGAAGAGGAGGTCTCAGGGGCAAAGTCCCTGGAGTGGACCAGAAAGGAAGTCAGCCTGACAAGAAAAGCTCAGTCAGTGTAACAGGGAGCAAGCCTGGTTGGCTCCCCTTGCCTCAGTGTATCAAAATGATGTAATTCCCCCATCCTCTCTAGCAGGTCTCAATCCTCCCAATTACTATTTTAGCCTAATTATTCTGGGAAAATCAGCCCAGGGCTAACAACCTGCCCAAGATCCCACGACAGAGTCTAGCCTTGAAGCTAGTCTTTGAAGTCTAGTCTTCATGTTCTCCTCCAATCAAATCTTCCATGCTTCATTCTGGCATTTGAGGCTCTTCTTTATCCATCCTATCCAGAAGGGACCCTGGTCTTCTGGGACACTCTTAGGAGCCCATTATGGGAGTTTAATATGGTTGGCCAGAATGCTCATGCCCTGAGCTCAAGTGCTTCACCCAGAGTGACATCTTGTTATCAGTACTCTCCTTTCTCAATCCCACTCTTCAAAAAGAAGGTTAGAATGCTTTTAATGTCAATTCTAGCTCTAACATATAGTATACAGCAAGCATCAGAGAATATGTGCATCATTAGCTGGGACTATAAACAGAAACCAGAAGAATGAATAATGATGGGTCCCCAGGGCCTGTTCTCATGTTAAAACTACTTGTTTTTGTAGACTTCACATTTTACAGCCCTCTACAACAAAGGATCCTGCAGTTGGATGGGAGGTTCCCAAGATCTCCTGGTGTCACATGGAAGTGCCATTCACTTTTGCAGACACAATCAGATTGGCAGGGACAAAACTAGATTCAGGAATGTCGCTCCTTAGGTGACCCAAAAAGCCAGCATTTGTTCTCTCAATTGTTCATTTAATACATTGTCATTGAGTATTTACTATGTGCCTCATACTAGACTAGGAATATAACAAGGAAAGAAAAGAAAACAATCTCTGGCCTATTGGAGCTCAGAGATCAAGCTCAATTTTTTGTGTCATTGATCTCTCTTGTGACCTAGTGAAACCTATAGCCCTTTGCTCACAAAAAAAAAAATATGTTTTAAAATCAGAAAAAAATCTAGAATTAGAAAGAAAGCCAAAAATTGAAATAGTAAAATACAGAAAAAAAAAATACGTGCTAGAGTAATATATGTGTTGCCCATTAATCCATTAAACTGTAAAATGTTATGGCTTAATGACTACAATGATTATCATGATTTTAGGTTTATTTTATTTTTATTATGTGTGTATATTGGTGTGTGCTCTCATGCATACACTCATGTGTGCTAGGCAAAGGTATGTGGCACATGTGCTCAGGTTCCCATGAAGGCCAGAAAAAAGGTTGCTGATCCCATGGAGCTGGAGTCACAGGCAAGTGACATTCATGCTGGCAACCAAACTCAGGTCCTCTACAAGAGCAGCAAGCTCTTAACCACTGAGTTATCTCTCTGGCTCCCGATTATCATGATTTTAAACACTAATTATAAATTTCAAAGGTTATATATTTGAGATATCTGCAACTTTATATGATGGACAAATCTCTGATTACTACTGGTGACAATCGCCAATATTACTATTACTGCCAGGGTGAATTACACTTTTTTAAATTTTTTGTTTTTGTTTTTTCAAGACAGGGTTTCTCTGTGTAGCTTTGCGCCTTTCCTGGAACTTGCTTTGGAGACCAGGCTGGCCTCGAACTCACAGAGATCCGCCTGCCTCTGCCTCCCTAGTGCTGGGATTAAAGGCGAGCGCCACCACCGCCCGGCTTTAATTGTTTTTTGAAAACAGGATTTCTCTGTGTAGCCCTAGCTGTCCTGGAACTCACTCTGTAGTCCAGACTGGTCTCAAACTCAGAGATCCACCTGTCTGCCTACATTCTTGATTGAAAACAAGCTAAATGTTGCTAAACAGGGAGGGAAAGCAAAGATGTAAATTAATTCCCATCCAAGTCATTCCTCCCTGACCCCCAACCCTACCCCCAGACTCTCCTGGAGGATCTGTGCTACCCAAATTAAAAAACTTGCTCATAGAAGGAGCCTGCCCGTTCTTCCCTCCTTCTTAAACAGCTTTCCTTCAGAAGACAGAGGGCTGGGGTTTATTCTGGGTAATTGCTGCTCAATTTCAGGCCAGTAAGTGTGCCTCTTTTGGAAGGCAGCTATGCTCACCACTGTACCACCAACGCCTCACCAAGTTGGCCTCTTTAGGCCACAGCTTATTCTACTTGAACACTGACTGACTACTTATACACCTAATTAAAAATTACATAAACTGCAGGGTATAGTGGCTCACACCTTTAATCCCAGGCAGAGGCAGGCCTGGTTTATGTGGCGAGTTCTAGGTCAGCCAGGGCTACAAAGTAGGATTACCTTTTTTTTTCTCCATGGATGGCACTAGGAACAGTGCTTACCTGGAATGAGAGACACCTGGCTCAGAAACTCCTACAAGTGGGTGTGGAGCTATAGGAAACGGGGAGCAGAGTCCTAGTGTCTCTTAGCAAAGCGGTGTGAGGGCAAAGTGGCTACAGAAAGAAAGAAGACGTCAGGAAAGTAGGAAGTCTATTCAGTGACTTGTGCTTAGCCTGGTTTCGGGTTTCCGGCATGTTCACACGCGACCCCCGGAAGACCAGTCGAATGGAATGAGGGGTGATCCTTTCCTGGCCAGGGTTGTTAACGGAAGGGCTTGGCTCATAAGCCAATCACACCTTCGAGAGGGTGGAGTTTTCATCGGTGCTTCCATCTCTAGCCAATCTGAGGGAAGGCAAAAGGGCACTCCTCCAATGGGAGCTGAGGAGCCCGCGGTAGTGATGGAGCCCCGCTATCCTGCCATCGCTCCGCCGATCGTCGCGTGAAGCGTCCGTGTGTCTGCGAGATCTTGCTTGGGCCAGGTATCCATTCTCCTGCGGCAGCTGTAGAACCTACGGAGGCTAGAGGTATCCCGCGACAAGCAGTAAAGATGGGGTGGTGGGTAAAAGAGCGGTGGGAGGGAGAAAGAACAGCCCAGAACGCATGTGGGGAGGGACCTGGCGGGCTTTTACCTGGGCGGCCTTTCAACTCTAGGTCCGTGGGTGGTGGAGGATCATTTGCGTAGCAAAAAAAGGGAAGGCGAGTGCTCCTGCAGCCCCTCCAGACGGCACCCAGGTGAGTACCCTTGAACCCACCACCCGTGCCCACCCTCTGTGGACCTCCCTATCCCAGCCTCTGGGGAAAAGATTCCATGCAGGTTTGCTGCTCACGTGATTGTCTGTGTTCCAGTCTCGACTCCATATCTGCCTCTACCCAACATTTTCTCTCTCTCTCTACCCAACATTTTCTCTCTCTCTCTCTCTCTCTCTCTCTCTCTCTCTCTCTCTCTCTCTGTCAATCGACATACTAAGACATCACAGATTCAGGACGCCTAATCCTGACCTGACCACTTAAAACCAGCTATGAAACTTTGAACTATTCACTTTACTCATCTGGGCCTCAGTTTCATCATCGGTCAAATGGAGGTCTGTCTCTGCCTGAGCCAATGCACATGCTTGGTCCCTAGAAGTTTTTTCAATAAATAACGATGATCGTGATTGAAAAGAATATTAATTCTCTAAGTCTGACTTTTTTATCACTTGCCTCTGACCCTTTCCCCCTTGTCTGCCTCTGATCCTCTCTCCTAATGGATCTTTTTGAATGATTCTGTCCTCTCTTATCTTTCCACGCTGAACCTATCTCTTTCCCATCCCTAATGTGGTTATAACCAATGAGAATGGCCCAAGGGTAGGGCACTGGAGCCTGGCCTTGGGCTGCTTCTAAGTCTCATTGGGGAAAGAGCCCTCTTTGTTCCTCAGCCTTCTCTGTTAAACAGGTAGAGATACCAAGGATGGGGAGAAAATAAGATTACAAACTACTTTTTGGTGGTGGTACATGCCTGAATTCACAGCATGCAGGAGGATTGCCACAAGTTCAAGGCCAGCCTGAGCTACATAGTGAGTTCAAAATAAATCTGGGCTACAGTGTAAAACACTGCACCCTATCCCCACCCTATTAAAACACTTTTTAATAGCCCTTATGTAATGTTGGTCCCCATAGGCAGTCCAGGGATCTTCTAATTATGTCTCCATGTAGCCCTGAACATCTTTTCTGTCCTCATCCAGGAGTTCTTCTAGATGAAACCTTTGGAAACTCACTGTCAAGTACCACCAGATCCCATCCCCATTCCTATCCTAACTTTTGAACATACCTTTGTCATTCTGACACCCATTGATCCAATAGTCTATTTCTATAATGTATACTTTGAAATACCTCCTTCACTATTTTAAAATGAAGAGCATAGAAAGTAGACTACACGGACAGTCCCTTCAAAGCTAATGTAACGCTTCACTTGTGATATCAGAGAGAAAAATTTATTTTTGTTTGTTGTTTCATGGCAGGGTTTCTCTGTGTAACAGCCCTGGCTGTCCTGGAACTCGCTTTGTAGACCTGGCTGGCCGTGAACTACAGAGACCTGCCTGCCTCTGCCTCCTGAGTGCTGGGATCAAAGGCGTGCACCACCACACTGGGCTGAAGAAAAATTTATAATAAAACAGTATGCACTTCAATACATAAATACTTGGATATGGCTACACTAGAAGAAATAATGAAATAATCTTATATGTAAATACATGCATGTGACCCTTGCATGTGACAGCTACATGTATATTGAGTGGTAACTCAGAAACCACAGGTAGGATACAGTTCTATTTCCCTAAATGATGAGTAATTCTTCATAAAGTTCTAAACAAAAGAATGTGTAAATGTCTCTCATTGTTTATGGTTGTTAAACTTTGAGAAAAAATGAATATAAATGAATCTCCTTGGTCCCTCGCCTCTCTAGCCTTACCTCCTACTACTCTGCTTCCTCCTTCCTCCACTTCACCTACAACGGCCTCCTTAGTGTTACTTGAATGTATTAGGCACACTTATGCCTAGGTGGTTTTCTGTTACAGCTTTCCCTGTCTTCAGAATACTCTTCCCCAAATATCCACAGGTTTCATGCCTTCACTTTCTTTTTTTTGTTTGTTTGTTTGTTTTGGGGGGTTTTGTTTGTTTGTTTGTTTGTTTGTTTGAGACAGGGTTTCTCTGTGTAGCTTTGCACCTTTCCTGGAACTCACTCTGTAGCTCAGGCTGGCCTCGAACTCACAGAGATCCACCTGGCTCTGCCTCTCGAGTGCTGGGATTAAAGGCGAGTGCCACCACCGCCCAGTGCCTTCACTTTCTTCAGGTTTCTATTTAGTTGCTATTTTCTTGTTGAGGTCTACCATGACCATCCTGCTTAAAAACTCATCCTGGTCCCTACACCAACCCAGCTTTGTCGTTCCCATTGCATCCCACCACCTTCTTACGTAGTACAGTTCTGTGTTGCTTAACAATGGATATATTCTGGGAAAAGTATCATTAGGTAATTTTGTCATTGTGCAAAATATAGAGTGCTTACTCAAACTGAGACCTTTGTGACATCACCAAGCAATATGATTTTGTGGGACGGCCATCATTTAAGCAGGCTGACTAAAACGTCATTATACAGTGTGTGACTGTATGTTCTTTACTTCTATTGTGTTTGTAGTTTATTGTCTAACTCTCCACCCAGTTTTAAGCTCTAGAAAAGGGAAAGGATTTTTTTTTTTGTCTTTTTTCCCCTCCTGGTAGGTCTGTAGTACCTAAATCATTACTTGGCACATGATAGACTTTCTTAAATAAATGTTGGTCAAATGGATAAATTATAAATGAATAAGCAGATGTTTTTAAACCTGAATAATGGTTTGGTAGGGCAGTCCAAAGCTGTATGGGCTATGGTACAATTCTTTGCTATGTGGGGCTGTCTTGTGCACTGCAGAATGTTGGGCATCTCCAGTAGATGCCCACTAAGTGTCACTAATGCCCTCCAATGGTACTCCAAAATGCCCCCCAAACACTCTTTGACTTGCACAGTGATCTGCCCCCCCCCAACATTCTTGCCTGCCTTTACAGCCTCCTCATACTCCACTAGTAAGGAGTGGGAGTAGTTAGCCTTGGTTCTGGTTGTCCTTTCCATAGATTTTCTTTCTTTCCTGTTTAACCCTGGTTTTGTTTTGTGATTATTTTCAGTGCTGGAGAGTGAACACATGGTCTCTCACATGCTAGAAAAACACTCCACCACTGCGCTATTTCCAAGCCCTGTTTTCAGAATTTTTTTAGTATTTTTTAGATGTATTCTTTTTTTTATGTGTATGAGTGTTTTGCCTTTATGTATGTGCATGGACCATGTGTGTGCCTGGTGTGGAAAGAGGTCAGAAGAGAGCATCAGTTTCCCGGATCTGGAGTTATGGATGGTTGTGAGTCACCTATATGGTTCTGAGAACTGAACCTAGGTCCTCTGAAGGAGCAACAAGTGCTCTCAACTTCTGAGCCATGTCTCCAGTCCTGTGTTTTTATATTTTTAAAAAAGACTTGTTATGTGTTTTGCCAGCATGTGCATGCAGTGCCCACAGAGGCCAGAAGAGGGCATAGTGTCCTCTGGCACAAGAGTTGACTGGGTGGGTTCCAAGAGCAACAAGTGCTCTTAGCCACTGAGCCGTCTCTCCAGTCTGTGTTTTCAGAATTTTTAAACTTTCAAATTTTTAAACCTTTTTGGAAGAGTTCAAATATATAATTAGTCAAATTACCTAAATGTTGAGAAGTTATATAACTATAGTTTACCTGTCAAAATTAATAGAGAATATTGTCATTTAGGTGCACTTTCTTATCGGGAACAGTTCTTTTAGTCTTTCTTGTCTTTCATTACTTTGATTTTTGTTTTTTAAAACAGGGTTTCTCTGCATAACCCTGGCTGCCCTGGAACTCACTCTGTAGCCCAGGCTGGCCTCAAACTCACAGAGATCCGCCTGCCTCTTGCCTCCTGAGTGCTGGGATTTAAGGCGTGCGCAACCACACTCAGCTGACTTTGATATTTTTGAAGTATCCTGGGCAGTTATTTTATAGCATTCAAGTTTGTGTAAGTTCCATTGTGGTTATATTAGTTTTAAGTTCTGCATTTGGGGCATGAATACCAGAAGAGATGTTATGTGTTCATTATGTTTCATCAGGAGGGACATGATAACATTTTGCCTCGGTATTCATTCTTTTGCTTTGACTACTTGTTCAATGTGTTGCCTGCATCACAATGTTTTGGTCAACGATAAAAGTATGACACTGGTACCATAAGATTAATTATCTAGTGACATCATAGACATTAATATGTATAACTACATTTTGATAAAAATGACCTGACCATAAGTTTCTTAGAATGTGTCTCTATAACTGTACTTATATTGCATTTATTTATCTGTCCATTTATTAATCATATATATGGGTACACACATACCACAGCACATGTGTGGAGGTCAAAGGACAACTTGGGGGAATCACTTCTTTCTCTTCCTTACTCCATGTGTGCTCTGGGGATCAAACTTGGGTTATCAGGAGTTTGGTAAAAATGGCAGCAAGCACATTTGCCTGCTCAGCCCTCTTGCCGGCCCCAAATTTTGTGCGCATGCATGCGTGCGTGCTTGTCCGTGTGTTGGTTGCTAAGGATGGAATCCAGGAATGCTGAGCAATGCCCTAAACCTGTAGTTTTTCCTTCTGTATAATTAATAAGTGATATTAAGATACTCTTTCACATCTTAAACCATCCACTGTCCCTGGGTTGGTTGCAAATATACATAACATAGAACTGCCCCTGCCACTCTTCATTCCTAGAAGAATATGACCACATGAGCTCTCACTTCCCTCCCTCTCTGCCTGATGCTGGGCATCGAATCCAGGGCCTTGCACATGCTGGTCAGAGGCCTTTCTACAATGCTCGTCACTGTCGCCCACTTTTTGAAAATACCCTTCTCATCTAACTGTAGGTGGTTTTAATATTTGTATTAAAAGATGGTCTTTCTCATAGTCTCATCTCTCAGTTCTGTGACCCACCCTTCTATCACCCAGAAGGACAATTTCACATCTTCTCTCTTCTGAAATTTCCATGCTTTGATCCTCATGCTCAGGCTTTCTGCTTACATGAAAATTTCAAGCTCTCAGAATAAAATGTCTATCACTCATGAGGCTGAGACATGAGAAGCATCAGTTCCAGGCAAGACTGGGCTATATAACAAGAACCTGTCTCA